CTCCGAGGCAACTTCAGTGTTACAGCTTCTTGTGTCAAAGTCTGGGATCCACACATAATGTTCTGGGCTCCTCCAAAGGGCTTGAATCACTTCTCCAGCTCTGCCCTCTGTAGCACTCTAAGCTCACGTTGATCCACTCCACTGCTGCTGCTGTTCTTAGTGATCATGTTCTTAGGGTCTTCCACTGCAACTAGGCTTCATCAATAGCCTCTCATAGGCTCTCTTCATGGCGCTAAGCTTCAACTACTTTACATGACACCTTCAGTACTGGGCCTTCAACTGCAACTGAGACTGCACTTTCACCAATGACTTTCCACAGCCACTCACAGTGCCAAACCCCAGCTGTTCTTCATGACACCTTCATGCCTTCATGATACCACCTGGCTGACTCCCACACATTCCCAAGTACAGCTGCTGCAGGAGGTACAATCTTGGATATCTCTGGAACACAGATTATTTGTGCTCTCAGAAAACATTTCCCAGAAGATTCCACTACAATGATGCTATTCTCTTTTTAATAACCACTGATTTTTTAGCTCCTGCTAACCAGCAACAATTGTCCCAGTAAGCCCATCTATTCTGGACTTTAAAGCCAGAGCCTTATGGCCAAAGAAGCTGCTTGCTGGAGCTGGAAGATAGCCGTCTTGTTCTCATATTTTCACCAGATTTCTTTTTTCCAACTTCTTCACTACCTAATCTTGGCTGTCCTGGAACTTGCTCTGTAGACTGACTTTTAAACTCAGAGACCTGTATGCCTGTCTCCTAAGTACTGGAATTAAAAGTGTGTATGTACTACCTTACCTGGACTAAACTTTTCATGGCCACTATGCCTCAAGATCTCCATGCCAATATCCAGGTCAGAAACTTGTCTTCCAGCCTCAAGATCTCAAGATGAGGCCACCAATTCTGGATTGAAGTTCATTCCAGATATAGTCAAGTTTACCAGGAGGAATAACTGTCACAATAGGCAATAATAATAAATAGATAAATGATAAACAATTGATAAACAGATTGACAGATGGGTATGTAAACAATTGTTTCTGCAATGATTTTCCTTATTTAGGAAACTTTTTTGTTCTATCTTTGAAGGTATCTGTGAGGTCATGAAAACGCTTACTTCTTACCAACTAAGCATTTTTTTCCTGTGCTTTCCTAACCTATTTATAAGAAAAAGGAGTATATAAATACTGAAGTATATATATATATAGTTAATACCTTGATTAAAAACATGACTCTTAAGTTCCATCCATTTGCCTGCAATTTTATTTATTCATTTTTTAGTTGAAGGACATATAAGGTGTTTTGTTTTGTTTTGTTTTATTTTTACAATTTCTGGCTATTACAAATGAAGCTACTATGAACATTGTTGATCAACTTTTCCTGTGTTGTAGTGGGGCATCTTTTGTGTATATGACCAGGAGTATTATAGCTGGGTCTTGTGGTAAAGCTATTTTCTATCTGATTTAAATGTGTAGCTTGGTGTTCATTTAGCTCCCCTAACAAGTGGAGTGGGGGCTGTCTCCATCACTGTTCACTGCCATAGGCAATGTGGTACTCTTTTATGTTCTAATGTATGTGGTACTGTTAGTGTGGACACCACTGCTGGATTTGGGAAATGAATGGTATTAGGGACCATAAACATGCATCATGTCTTCTTATATGACAAGCTAAGTTTAAGAAAAAGTGTTTTAGAGGTAGAAAACAGTAAATAAATTATTAGAGTTTTATATGTATGCTAAACTTTCCTGTTTGCAGGAAATAAACCATCACTCTTATGTCTTTCTTTTCAGTGTTTTTTAAGCTCAGCACCTAAGTAACAATCTGATATCAGTTCTACAGGGTTTTGCAATTTATGAAGGCAGGTTTCATGTGTAAATATTGTGTTAGGTCAAATACCTTTGTTTAAAAATCTAATTGTTACTCAGTAGAAGTCATCGTTGTCACCTGTTAGAATGCAAGTTTTATTTTTAGATTGTCTTTACAAACCCCCATTTGGATCCCATCAAAGACAGATATATGTGCAAACATGTAAATAGACATAGATCATAAGGTTTATAGTAACTACCTCACTTCAGCATGAACTTTTAGAAATTGATATCACATTTTCTAATACATTGGTTAAAAAAGTATATATGTTCAACATGTTCAACATGATAGTATTATATTTAGTATAAGTATTAATATGTATTTAGGAGTATTCATCCATATTAATGACTCATTACTTCAATAATTAAAATCACAATACACATAAGATTGCTCAAATATTTATACAAACTATAAATCTCAAAAATATAATTCTATGTTTCATAAATGCCAACATAGGTCAAAAATTAGAGTTTGCTCTATCTATTTGGTTAAATTAAAAAAAAAACTAGTATTTACTCAATAAATATATAATGACATATTTAATACATTTATATGTTAATTAATTTACTCACTGTCTCTATCATATGCTCAGCAGTGGATAGTTATTCAGTGCAGACAGGAAATGAATGACAAGAGTTACAGAACCCAGGTCACAGGATTGGTGTAATCCATGTCAGCATGAAAGGTCAGTGATAAAAGAAATGCAGATCATGTGGGGCACTCTTCAGTGATCTTACTTAAACAGGGAGCCTTCTCAGCTAGAAAGGGTAACACCAAGCTGTCACATTTACTGAATCTGACAGCATCATGCTTTCTTTATTAGAATATTGACTCACACATTGAATAACATCTCTCATAACTTCATCTGCAATTCACTGGAAGGCCTAGGTACTGAATATGAGTTAAACAAAATGACTGCAACTGATAATGTAAAATGTTTACATTTATCTATCCATTTGTATATATGGAGTAATTTGTCTTATACTGCATTTGTGTATGAACATAGTCTCTATAAATTTGCATAGAAAATATGTACCATACTTAAACATGCAACATGATACCCTTTTTTTATATATACCTTTTTTGCAACTACAAATAAGTTAAGAACAAAGATAATTGGCTGTATATCTAGTTAGCTCTATAGTCATTCATTAGTTATTTTACTTAACCTGAATCAGTGCTTTTTTAAAATCTTTTTTAAAATTAGTCAAATATTTATAGTGTAGAGATAAGCTAGTTTAAAACTCATATCTGCTTTCATTAGAGTTAGAATAATAAATTAATTAATATCATTAGTAATAATTAATTAAATAATGTATGCTCAAAGGGAAATTACCTGTAGACTTTCAATAGTGTCAAGAGCTGCATTACATTGAGATTTCCCTTAGGTACAATACAGAAGCCACAACTTTTTGTAATTTGGAAGAAGGACATTACAGTGAAGGCCAGGATGCTTGCTCTTGTTGTGACACTTGATCCATGTCAAATATGTGCCACATATCTGGTTCTGAATATTTATTTAAAGAATACATATAGTTCTCATATTAAAATAATGTATAAATGAGATATGTATTATGAAAAACTTGTCTGACATAACTCTTGCATTTAATCATGTATTTTAAGAATCATATCTATCTATGCCTTGCCTTATTTGTTTTTATGTTCATAATGACTTGCTTGTGATAGTAGAACACATTTATATCTCCATCCCCTTCCACAGTCACTTTGTGAGCCTGTGAGAAGGAACTGTAGCACCCTAAGCCTCCCCGTGTAGCCTATTCCCAATGCATGAAAACAATTGTAGCTCTAATTCTCATGCTCTCTATTTGTGTCTTCACCTCCACTTCCTGCTTTCCCTCTTCCCACTGCCTATGTGAAGTCTGCAAGTTCTTAAGGAGTTTTCATCCTCCACTTCCTTTTCCTGCTTCCTCTATTCCCCATGACACTGTGAGGCCTGCAAGTGACTGGGGGTTTCTATCATTCCTCTGCACCATCTGCTTCTCCCCTTCTCAGTGCCAATGTAATTTCTTCAATGGCCTGGAGATCTGCACCCTTTACCTCCAAGGACGCGCCTCTCGGCTTCCTTAGTCCCTTGCATAGCAGACAACTCAGTACTCTGTGCTTCTTTGTTTGGTCTTCTTTAGATTCTATATATAAGTGAAGTTACACACTTTATTTTGTGTTTCTGACTTATTTTATGTGTATAATGCCCTCCAGATTCATCCATACAGTGAATTTGAATATAGGAAAACAGTAAGACACTGAGAATGTAACTAATTTATTCATAACCTCTACATACATTTTACTCTTTTACTCATAGGTAGGTTCATTCTGTAGCTGACTATACACTTGAGACTCAGGATTCATGGTAGGAACACATTCTTAAGAGGCATTCAGTCTACAAATAGGAGGAAATAGGATTTGAAGTCAATTAGTATGTACTAGAAAGACCTGTGTTGGCTATTATGATGTGGAAAAACAACTGTTAAGAGAGAACTGTGAGGCTCACTGCCATCACTAAAGTAGGCGTGATAAAAATGTCTTAGTTAATGCTTCAATGCTTCAAGAGAAACTTTCTTGTCAGTTCAAAAACTTGTGTATGTCTGAATTCTCTGTAAATACTGTTCGGTATAGTATTGAAAAAGGTTATGAAAACCTTATTCATAATTCAGGAAAAATGAATGCAAAAAAATCAGTAACAATTAAGTTGACAATAGAGCTTGAAAATCTGTCTAGTCTGGGAGTGGGTTCTCAGAAATGTCCAGAGTATATCTTGTTTATCAACACAAAATAACTTTCTTTTTATGGTTGCCAAACTTCTCATAAATCTTACACTGTATTATCCACTGTCATTACAAATTTAAAAAAAATCAACACACACATAAAACTGATTTCAGGATGCTCTGCCTGCAAAAACACTTTGAAGTATCATTCCTCATGGACACTTGAAAGAAGTGATGGTACATCCATGCTCAGTGAGTGCCCTTATTTAGGGAAGTATATTCCTATGGTGAATATAGTGACTTCTTTAAGTGGAAGTATATAGTTTTCAAGTAAATGTGTGTTAGGCATATTGTTAGAGATCATGACAATGTTTGTGTTATTGTCTAATAGAAACATTGACTTCTTCCTAGGAGCAATTTTTGATGAATCTGCTAAAAAAGATGATGAGGTATTCCGCACTGCAGTTGGTGACCTCAACCAGAATGAGGAAATCTTACAGACTGAGAAAATCACATTTTCTGTGACATTTGTAGATGGCAACAACCCTTTTCAAGCTGTTCAAGAAGGTAAGCCCACCCGTGGTCTATTGTTTATTTTGATTATATTATTATATTCAGTAAAATGGAAATAAAAGTAGATCCATAAACAGCAATTTAATGTAGGCATCATTTTGTGCCATCTCAGGTAATTAGATATTACTTTTTCTGAGAGTTGTTATCATGTAAGATTTTATGTTATATTAAAGTTTGAAGGCCTGTCATATGAAAAATTATTATTTGGATTGAAATATGATGTGAACGAGGATATATAATTTACAGTCAAGAGCTTTATGGCATTGTTATAACTTCAGTGAAAATGTTACTTTCCTGTAAAATATGACTTTCTATCAGAATTTTTGCTTTGGGTTTTTCTGTGATTACTGCTGACTTGAGTGTTGTTACAACTTACAATGACATTTCAGGGGTACAAATACACTGCCACAAGGCAAACCTGGAGACACTACCCACAAATGAGCAGGGTTATGTTGTGCTCCTAGGGTCTGGACACTGGCTGTGTCTCTTCTCCCTACAAGTTTTCAAACACTAAAGCAGAGTCTTTTCCATTCTCATGAGAATGAATTAAAATTCTCATTGACAAAAGTAATCTTCAATGGTATTTCTCAGATTAGTGGAATACTCTGTTTGAGTCTGATAATCTAATTAAACATTAAGACTCTTCTTTGGTAAAGCACTCGTTGTTGGGGAATTATTTCTTTATTTTTGCTAAAAATCTAGATTTACTTTTGCCATTTCCCACATAGCTCAGTGTTGAAACATAATCCCTGTCGTGATGATATGAAGAAATGGAAGGTTTGGAAGATGCTGAAGGCATGGTAATGAGACTTTTTATATAGGATTTGTGCTCTTTGAAGAAGTGATGGGGGATGCTGCCCTCTTTGTCTTCAGAGGACACAATAAGGAGACAAAGAAGACAGTTTCTGTGGAACAAAAAACAGACTGCAGACATTGTAAGCTAGTCCCCTGAACTTTGCCTTCCAGCACTCAGAACTGTGATCAGTGACTGTACGTTCTTTATGAGTTACCAATTTAAAGTTGCTTTGTTCTAATACTTGCACAGACTAAGACCTTGATCTGTTTCATATTTTATTGTAGCTATACATTTAGGATAATGAAGGTCAGCATAAATTTAGTCAAATGAATTGTTTTGTGAATCATTTAAATCAGATTTGGAAGAAGAAACAACAAAACTACATTGGAAATATAAATTTGTTTGGCAGGAGACAATGTCAAGAGACTGATACTGAGAGGATGAGATAATAGCCCCAAATGTATGGAGCATGAACTACTTTTATCTACTACTCTAACTTTTTGATGTGTACTTTGTTTTATAGATGACACATATGCAATCATTTACTTCTGTTCATGGACTAGATATGACACTAAATGTCTGTAAAAATGATCTTTATTGCTGATTGGATAGTAAAAATAACATTGTTTTCATGAAATCAACAGAATTAAGAATCAACTATTTCTGAAGAAAACTAAAAAGTATGTTTAATAATAAAATAGATTTGAATTTTTAATAATTGGATATTAACTCAAGGCCAAAATAAAAGAAAATGCATCTAAATATTTTCACATTAAAATCATAGCTTTACCACAAATTATTCCTGCGCTTAATATCACTTATGAAAGCATTTATAATATGTCCAATATTAGAATTGATAAAGGAGTTTGTAAAACAATTTAGAATTTGAGGAAGATATTAAATGGCTTATAGAATGTATGTCCTCTCACAGTCATGTCCTCAATGAACGCTTTAGGATTTATTTTGTCACTTATTTCTTTCATTACCATGAAAAGAGCAGAAAACAAAGACATCTGACCCACTTTTCTTCCAAGTCTTGATGTGTCATGTCAATCTTCTAGCCAAATCACTGACAAAATCCATTGAGATTTTAAGTGTCTACCTTGGTTGAAAAAATAGATGGGGATAAATAAAAGCAACAAAGTAGATGGGAGGAAGTAATGAAGTCTGCACACATTCCCTCATTGAAACAATGAGGGTGTATTTTAAATACTGCAACAATTTTCTTTTAGACTCTGTGCATCCATCCTTCTCCTAGCTCAGATCTAGAAACAAAAAATTTTTTCTACAGAATTGTAAGACTTGAAAGAAGTTGTCATACTGAAAGCAAATTGGGAGAGGTAATGAGTTGCCCAGATGGAGTCCTCTAGATATCTTACAAGGATGAATGATCTTGACAGATTGTCTGAATGGTATCTGATACTAACAAGTTGTTCTGGACCAGCTATTTTGATGATCTGCTCTGGGTGCTGAACTTGAAACAAATTACCGCTTTAGAGAAGCTTATTGCCACTGTTTTGCATCTAGAAAGATTTGGGTTTACTTTACAAGTGGAAATAATTATCTCAAAATATACTGTAAAAATATTATTTAAAAATATCCTACAAAAATTATGCAGGATACACTAAAAGAAGAACTAGTATGGAAGTACGAGTTCCTTAAATGATATTAAGAAGTTTAGCAGAAAAATTATGTCAATAATGATCCCATTGTGTGTGTGTGTGTGTGGTGTGTCTGTGTGTGTGTGTGTGAGAGAGAGTGAGAGTGAGAGAGAGAGAGAGAGAGAGAGAGAGAGAGAATACCTTTTTAGCTGTACTATTAAAATCTATTTAAAATAAATATAATATTAGCAACGTTTATAAGGCATAAAAAGTTCAATGGTGTTATTTATATTATTTATAAATCTTTTCTACAGATTTTACACAATTTATAGCAAATTTACAACTTTTCTTTCTCTCTGTTTTATGGGCATTAATTTCAGTGTTAAAGCACAATTCTTGAGAATACAACATCATTAAGAAAGTAGAAATTTGGTAAACAATGAATGATAGGAGAGGTCTGACAAACAAACTTGTCACTCAAAAGACAAATCAGTTCTGATAGTTATCTGTATTTTATTATAAAATTCCATTTGCATAACCATATTAAGAGCAGATTTAGGGCTGGGATGTTAAAATACTTATCCTACTCTGCACAGAAAGAAGCATTCAGTTTCTCAGAGTCACTACAAGATATTTTGAAGGGCCAATTTTTATCATGCTTTATAGATAATTGTTTTATAGCGAATAGTTAATAATGGAAAACTCTGTATCAGTGAATTCTAGTTAATGTGGAGATAGTCTTCAACAGCTGAAACTGTTCTCTGTCATTGCTAGAGGACCTCAAGGTTAATATTCTATTGTAAAGTAAGTTTCTAAAAATTTATTATCTGTTATTATTTTTTCTTATAAAAGACAACATTTAATTGAGGCTGGCATACAGTTCAGGAGTTTTGTCTATTATCACCATGGTGGGTGGCACAGCAGAGTGCACACAGACATGGTGATGGAAAGGGGCAAAGGATTCTATTTCGTGATCTGAGGGCAGCAGAGAGAGACTACATATCGGTTGCAAAACAAGGTTAACTTTATATTCATTGATAACCAATGATCATTTTGATAACTGTAATTTTAGTTTATACATCTAAGTGAACAATAGAGAAACATTTATTTCTGACAAAAATAACTTAGAATTTTCTCTAAACAAATCTTTTTTCTTTTACTACTGAGTATGTTTTATAAATTATTACTTTTATATAATAAATTTTCAGTAGTAACCAAGGACAAATTATTTTTCACACTTTAACAGAGGATTGTTCCTTGTTTTATTATGTTAGTTTTTAATACTTTTTGGAATATATTTTGACAACTAAGGAAAGGATTTTTTCTGCTTCCATATGGCATAGAGCAGGGCAAAAAATCCACATATATTTCTAAAAAATCCAGTTAACTATGTGTGAGTGTAAATTTAAAGCAGTTTAATTTGTTCAATATGTAGTTTAGTCTATTAAACTGTGTGTGCATATATATATATATATGTATATATATATATATTGAAATAACAAAAATTATCAATGATTTCAGAAGTATTGTAAAGAATTAAAATGTTGAAAATCAATGTGTTTGTTACATTTTTACATGAATTATTTATACAAAGAACATAGTATAATGGAAGAATTCTGGTCTGCATGATAAACATTTACACTGTATAAATCACTCATATTCTTTCAGCCTTAGAATACTTCATCAGTTAGAAATGAAAAGTTCAGCAAATGCATGGTATATTATAAAAGCAATTTTACCCTATAATTTTATGGCTTCCTAACATATTTAAGGTGTTTAATTTATTCTTAGAGAAGGTTTTCCATTTCTGAAATTGCTTCTAGTTTTCCTGTGATTGATTTTTAAATAAATTATGCCAGTGCATCAACTGATTCCTCACAATATTAAGAGTAGGTCACCATCATCATTTTCAAGGAATCGTCTGTTGTTAGGTAGACTTGAACAAAAAGATTATGGTTATATTTACTGTTTCCTCTTCCATCAGAGATTGTTTCTCCTGTGTATCAAATCATTGACATAGTATATTTTTATCTCTGTGGACAAAAGACGTATCCAGTGCAACTTAGTTTATGAAAGATTCATAGTAATTTTAGACAGATTTCATCCCACCATGTAGGGGAGGGAAAGGCATCAGTAACAGCTATTTTCCAGGTAATGAAAGATAGTGTGTAGCCAATGGCATCAGATCACAACTGAACTACATAGCTCCGCCTTTTCTTTAAAGGACCACATAAAGTGCCTACTTCCTTCAGGTAGGTCTTGTCACCTGAACAGTCACATAACTAAGATAAGAAGTCAGGAAGTAAGTATTTGAAAATGATCTGTGGATTATTCTACATAAACAATAGCAACATAGAAATACCTACTATGAAAGACACTGATAACTTTACTGAAAAAGTAGTAGCAATTCATATTAATTCATGACTGAGACTGACATACTATTGCTCACAAAATATGAGAATTTGTAAGAAAATGTACTAGTTAGGAGTATCTCACTATAAACTGCATGTAAAAACCTGATCTTCATGATTCTTTTATGTAAGACTTCTGGAAGAATTAATAATTGATCACTGATATATAATAGCAAATTTTAGCTA